CCCCAAAACCCCAAAACCCCAAAACCCCAAAACCCCAAAACCCCTTCAATTCTATAAATAATTGAGCTAAAATAAAATTAAATAATTTTAACCAAACTTAACGAAATGCGGAAAAGTGGGTTATACAAGTCAGTTTATGACAAAAATGAACGACTCAAGCGAAGAGACCAGAATTATAGCAAGAACCTCGAGAAACTTCACCAAAGGTGGGTTATTAGTGTGTTTAGAGGCCATAATATTTTTCAGAAATTTTCATTCCAGAAAGCTAACATTTCTTTAGGCCTAGGTATGGTTTATTCTCCTTCAAAGCAGGGATAGATTCAACCATTGAGGCTAAAAAGTTTGAAAATACCAATAACTTCCGTAATTTTGGAGGAAATAAAAAGAACTTTACAACCGCCAAGATGAAGAAGGGAGGTCTTGATGGAACATTGTTCTCCTCTCCTGGTTATAACTGAGTTGGGGACCCCTACGAGGACCCTAGAAGATTTAAGCTCAGATCTGAGAATACTAAGCTTCGAAGGAACCTTCATCTCAAAGATTTCAACACTGGAGGTAAAATACAGGAAAACCCAAGTACAGGGTTTCTGAATACGCCTAATCTTGAGAAAAGAAATGTGAATGCTAATTATACTTGAGGCCCTAGAGGATTCTTCACTAATCCTAATAAGAAAGGCAATGGGCCAGATGCTTTATTACAAAAGAAAAATTTCCCTCATATGCCTGATGATTACGATAGGAAAAAGAACATGAGAAGAAATGAAAAGATGAAGAACAGAAATCTTGATGTTGGAAATGGGTTTAAGAACGTAGTGAGAGGGAATAATACTTTTGGACTAATCCTTGATGAATATGGAGAAGATAAACTCAATATTGTTGATAAACCACAAACCACAAAACATGAAGGCTTACAGCACCCTGCTCCTTGGAAGTATAATAACGAATCAAGGCTGCTCAAGAAGACCTTGAATGAAGTACCTCCTTACATTGATCAAAAGACAAGTAAAGGTCCTATCCAAAAGATCATGCGGAAGCAAAACGATATGCCTTGGTACTTCACCTACAACAGGAGATCAGAGCCTTCCGACTCGATTCTCCACCATTTCAAGAACAAGAAGAGACATATTTTCCTCTAACTCATTCTAAGTACCCTAAATTCTCGTTCCAAAACCCAAATAACCAACTTATTTCAGTATTTTCAATGAAATCCTCTATATTCGGGGTTTTGGGGTTTTGGGGTTTTGGGGTTTTGGGGTTTTGGGG